TCTGTCTGTCTGTCTGTCTGTCTCTCTGTCTGTCTGTCTGTCAGTCTCTCTGTCTGTTCATCTGTCTGTCTGTCTCTCTGTCTGTCTGTCTGTCTCTCTGTCTGTGTGTCTGTTCATCTGTCTGTCTGCCTGTCTGTCTGTCTGTCCGTCTGTCTCTCTGTCTATCTCTGTCATCCGTCTGTCTGTTATCTGTCTGTCTGTCTCTCTCTGTAAAAATCAATAAGCCACAAGAAACACAGATTTGTTCATCTGCTCTAGTTCGTGTGTGTGGAGAGTCTGGTCACGGCTATGGTGGACATGTACCCGACTTTCTTCCGGCAGAAGAACCGCAGAGAGCTGCTCATCCTCGCCGTGGCCATCGTGTCCTTCCTCGTGGGTCTCATTATGCTCACAGAGGTACTGGACCAACTCATCTGACTCTGATCATTTTATCAATTGATTTATATAATTGGCAGATTTATAAATTGTCTCTGTCTGTCTGTCTGTCAGGGTGGAATGTATGTCTTCCAGCTGTTTGACTACTACGCAGCCAGTGGGATGTGTTTGCTCTTTGTAGCTGTTTTTGAGACCGTCTGCATCGCTTGGATATACGGTGAGGAAGCAAGAAAATGCCCGTTTTAATATACTATTAAAATTAAATTACATACATGATAAAGTATCTAAATGCAATTATCTGTCACATTTTTAGTTTTTTTTGGTAATTTCCTTGCTTTTCTTTGCTGCTTCTCAGGTGCTAATCGGTTTTATGACAATATCGAGGACATGATTGGTTACCGTCCTGGGCCGTATATTAAATACTGCTGGCTCTTTTTCACCCCAGCCACATGTTTTGTGAGTCATTTACCTTCTATACTTTATTTACCTTAAAAAATTTGATTTTTTACGATTTTTTTGTAACCTTAAAATAACTATTCCAAACAATTTTTTAAACCTCTTCAGATTGTTTTAATTTTAAACCCCCTATAATTTTATTGTGTATATATATATATATATATATATATATATATGAATATTCAGTAAGTATCGAATACCAAAATATAATGCAAATTATTTATTAATTAAGTAATTTAGAGTGTTTTAAGGCATTCCTTTTCTCAGCTGATTTAAATATTGAAATACATTTTTCTAATTATTTTTAAATGCCACAAAACTTGGAGCAACTTTAAGTAATCTGCATTTGTGAAATGATTTTAAGTACCAAGACAGTGTTCTTAGGCTTTATACTGACATCTACTGGTGTGGATGCATCACAATGCAGCAGTTGCTTTGGTTGCTGATGCATTTGTAGAAATTTTGTTTGCTGCTCTAATGTGATTTCCTGCGCTGCTTGTCGTGACAGGGTACGTTTGCATTCTCCCTGATCAAATACACTCCTCTGAAGTATAATAACGAGTATGTGTACCCGTGGTGGGGCTACGCTCTCGGCTGGCTGCTGGCGCTCTCCTCTATGGTTTGCATCCCGCTGTGGGTTGTTTCTAAACTGAGCACAGCCAAAGGTTCACTGAGAGAGGTGAGTGACACTAACTCAATCTGACGTGACAGGAGAAATAGCGTACTGACATACTGCTCTTACAGTTTCTGCAGCATTTAGCCTGTATAATGTGTGCAGTATGCATACCCTTCTGGCAAAAGTTGCACAAATGTATATTAAAAAACTGTATACACTACCAGTCAAAAGTTTTTGAACAGTAAGAGTTTTAATGAATAAATTACATTTTACTATATATTCAAATAGAAAGCAGTTATTTTCAATAATAAAAATAATTCACAACATTACTGCTTTTGCTGTACTTTGGATCAAATAAATGCAGGCTTGGTGAGCAGAAGAGGATTCTTTAAAAAACATCACAAATCTTACTGTTCAAAAACTTTTGACTGGTAGTGTATATCATAACAATATTTTAAAATATTACTATTAGTAGTACTATTAATTTATTTTATATTAATTATTGTTATTATTTGGTCAGGCTTGGATGCCAGTTCCAGTTCCACCACCAAACTACGCAGTTTTTTTTTTATGGAATTCAACAATATATCGTTTAAAATTAGTTTAAACAATCAAATCTTAACATTTGGCAGTCTGATCAAATAATGAATCAAGACAGAAAGGTTAAATTCGCTGTTAGATATTATACTATATCTGGTATCATTATTCACATCAGAAATGAAAGTCAAGTGCATTGCATTGCATTTTGGGAGTATTCCATATAGTGTGCTATGGTTCTATACTACTGTACATATTTTGATATGCATTGAGAAAAATTGCAAACTATGCAAAAATATGCATAGTGTAAAGGTAGTATGGTACACTCTCAGAAAAAAAGGTACAAAAGGTACACCTTTGTACACTTTAGGTACCAATATGGACTCTTTAGGTGTCTTTTGAAAAGGTACCGCCCCAGTGACAACTTTTGTACCTTTTTTTCTGAGAGTGTAGCATGTTATTCCAAACCTCTCCGCTTTGTTCTCCTCAGCGTTTCCACGAGCTCATCACGCCCTCGCCGGACCTGCCCAAAACCAGACGAGAGCAGGAGAAACTTCAGGCCATCTTTGCAGCCGACGGCGACGCTCTTCGCCAGCGAGGCGGCCCGACCAAAGACGGGTACTTCCCTGTCAGCGAGAAGGAGTCGCACTGCTAGACGGGGCACTGCATGTGCTTCTAAACCTTCCCGTGATACCTCACACAGTACTGGCAGCCAAATAAGCATTACGACAGACAGGCCAGGATCCACAGCCTGGGAGGGCATTTGAAATGCTTGCTCTTACTGGTCAGAAGGCATCGAAAGCCAGAGTGTGTCAATATTATAGACAGCAGAATGTTGAAACACAACGTAATCACACTCATATGATATTTGAGAGAAAACGTAGGGTTAGCTAGGTTTACTTCTAATTTAAAAAATATCTAAAATACACTTTTAAGTGTTTATTTTGTTACGCACTCTCAGAAAAAAAGGTACAAAAGTTGTCACTGGGGCGGTACCTTTTCAAAAGGTGCACTTTTGTACCTTTTAGGTACTAATATGTACACTTTAGACACTAATATGTACCTTTAAGGTACCAATAAGGGGTGTGCATACAACACAAAGGTGTGCCTTTTAAAAAGGTACCGGCACAGTGACAACTTTTGTACCTTTTTTTTCTGAGAGTGCACATCTATAGATTTCAATTAATGCCATTTTCTCAAAATGAGATTTTTCTCCACTTAAGAAGTACGTACTTACACCAGACTTCGCCGTTTTGTTCCTATCAATATTCTGAAGGTTTTTACAGAGGGGTTTGTTCGTGTATCATTCACCTTTTATTCTCTGAAAACATGGTGAAAATGATTTATTCTGTCTGATCATACGGTATTTTCTGATTTATGGAGAAATAAAAAAAAACAGATATCCAAAATCCCCTCAGTAAAAACTAAAACCTGGCTTTATCTAATGTTCATATTTATGTTCTGGAAATGTATGCATATTATACAATACCTCATTTGCATGTTTAAACATATCACTTCAGAAAAACTGTAATACAAAAAATGTTTGCAATTCTTAATCTAAACTAAGTATGGTGATCTATTACTAATTTTTACCTTATTCACCTAGGGTGTCTTGCATTAAATTAAACATTGATTATGCTCTGATTTGCTTAATTATTTTGTTATTTTGTGCTTTTAGGATATATAATAAACTGCTCTCAGTAATATTGACACGTCTACGGTCTAAACTTGGCCAAATATGAGCGTTATTATTAGGTTGAAGCGGCGCAGGAAGATTCTCTGTAATGCACCCAAAGCCTTCTGGGTCTTAAAATGATGGAGCCAAGGGCTGGATTCACATACGCTGATTAACTCTGGAGTTATTAAGGAATAGCACACTCAAAAATTACATTTTTGTCATTGTTTATTCGCCCTCATGACTTCCAAACCTGTATTTCAGTGACTTTATTTCTTTAGTAGAACACAGTGGTTTTATTGTGTGCAAAAGTGACTTACAGTTCGGAGATCTCATATTGTGTGTTTTTTTTTAAATGGGGAGATGCTGTTACAAATTATTTAAAGGAATTAAAGATTTAAAGGGAATAACGAAAAAAGAAGATAGTAGTAAAATAACTAGAACCTGTTGTAAAGTAATGACCTATTTCCAAATAATTTCCATATTTTTATTTTAAAATATGCACGTTCAGTCTTAATCGTATGTCTGATATGACTAAACGGCTCTGTTAAAGTTTCTTGACTCTCACATTCAATTATGAAGTACATTACATGAATTTCATTAATTACACTACCAGTCAAAAGTTTGGGATCAGAATTTTTTAAAATGTTTTTACAGGAGTTGCTGCATTTATTTGATAAAAAATACAGGGAAAAAATGTAATATTGTGAAATATTATTATGATGTAAAATAACGTTTTTCTATTTTAATATACATTAAACTGTAATGTATTTCTGTGATGCGCAGCTGTATTTTCAGCATCATTACTCCAGTCTTCAGTGTCACATGATCTTCAGAAATCATTCTAATATGCTGATTTATTATAAGCGCTGGAAACTGTTGCTGCTTCATATTTTTTTGGAACCTGTGATACTTTTTTCAGGATTCTTTGATGAATAAAAAGTTAAAAAGAAGAGCATTTATTTAAAATAGAAATATTTTCTAACAATATTCACTACCGTTCAAAAGTTTGGGGTCGGTACATTTGTATTCTTTCTTGTTTTGAAAGAAATTAAAACTTTTATTCAGCAAGGATGTGTTAAATTAAAGTTAAAGTTACGAAGTGATAGCAAAGATTTATATTGTTAGAAAAGATTTATATTTTGAATAAATGCTGTTCTTTTTAACTTTTTATTCATCAAAGAATCCTGAAAAAAGTATCACAGGTTCCAAAAAACATGAAGCAGCACAACTGTTTCCAGCACTGATAATAAATCAGCATATTAGAATGATTTCTGAAGAGCATGTGACACTTTACACTGGAGTAATG